TTTTTTTTTTCTTTTTCCCTTTAATTTTCTCCCACTTTCCCCCCCTTTTTTTTTCACTTTTTTCACTCCTCGTTTTCTTCCTTCATCCTCCCCTCTTTTATCTCTTCACGCGTGTGCGAACGTGTTCTCGTTCGTCTCTTTCTTATTATTTTCTTTCTTTTTTCTTTTTTATTATTATTATTATTATTATTATTATTATTATTATTCTTTTTTTTCTTTTTATTATCGTTTGCTCGTTTTTTTTTTTTTTTTTTTTTTAAACTCGTTGACATTCGTTGGACATGGTCTCTACTCGCTTACTTTCTCTCCCCTCCACCCCTCTCCCCCCTCCCCTTTTTTTCGTCTCTTTCTTTTCAATCTATCTCACTCTCGCTCGCTAGTTTTAGTTTTACCCTAGGCCTCCTGACTTTTCCAAAAGTGAGTTTTCCGGCCTTTGCTCGCCCTTTCCTTTCCAGTCCATTCGTGGGACTTGGTTTCTCGCGTTGTAAAACTTATTATAATCGACTCGACTATATAATTTTTATATATATATATATATATACGTAATTTTATATATCGACTAAACTGACTCGGTCGCGGAGCCGGAATCGCTCGAAGGGAAACGGAGAGGCTCTTTGAAGAAGAAATCTTTGTTACTTCTTATATTATTTATAGATCGGCTCTCTATTCTCTCTCCTCCTAGTTCGAGCCTCTTTTAATAGTAGTATTCGTTATTATATAGTCTTTTTCTTTTTTTTTCTCTCTCTTTCTCTCTCCCTGACTCTCTGTCTTTGGCACCGTGAAATTTCTCCCTACGAGCGGCCGTATCTTCTCATCTTATTTTCCACTTTTCCTTCATCTTTGGCTTCTTCCGGCCCGCGATCAACCCCTTTATTCCTCTCTCTTTTTTTTCTTTTTTTTTTTTAGTTAGCACCTTCGTTATTCGACTTTGTCTCACTGTTTGAATACGTAATACACACAGCAGCAAGTGCGTCGTAAATTACTAGCTAAGTGACTAAATTAGTTAGTTTCTGACTTAACGGAAGGGAAAACTGGCCTCGCAAGGGTCGCAAAGACGCGATTTTTTTTTTTTCTTTCTCTCTTTCGCGTCGCGTCGTGCCGTTTCTCGTTCATCGTTCGTCGAACTCGCCAGACTTTCCTTGGTTAACCGGTTCTCGCCGCCTTTCTTCTTCTTTTTTTTCTTTCTTTTTTTTTTCGCGGGCGCGAAATCAAATCTTGCGACAATTAATCAATCGTCCTCGGATGTTACGAAAAATTCTGCGTGGAATCCATTTGGATGGGTGAAAGATCGACTTGAACTTGGTACGAAACCGCGGTCGATCTGGGATCGTTTCGGTTTTTGCGTTCGACGATGGAAAATTTTTAATTTTCTTTTTTTTTTCTTTTTTTTTTTAATAAATATAATATATCAAGCCTCGACATCATTTTCCGTAAAGTTTAATAGTTTAGTTTAAAATTATAAGAAATATTTTGAATCCAACAACGAATGAAAAAATGTGTTATTTCTGAATTATAAAGTAATAGTCTTTTTTACTTATAGTTATAGATATACATTCTTCGTCTATCTAACAGTAACCAGTAAAATCGCACGTTTAATATATAGATTATCGTAAAATTGGAAGCTTGTAAAAAGAGTTAAGAATTATCCCCTTGATTATTTATTTATAGAATGAGAAGCGTCCAAGCAATCTGTTAGTTAATAATTCGAAAAATATACACACGATATATAGACGTTATAATTCAGAAATAATATAATATCCACCATTAAAAATTACCACGATCGGACGCAAAGCGTGAACAAATCTCCCAGCAATGTCCGCTTTCGGTTTCAGGTTTGAGCAACGATCACGAAATCACAGCGTTCGCTAAAACGAGGCAAGTTGTGTACAAGAATAAAATATACAAGAACCTTCTGTTTACGGATCCTTCACAGCTAAATATATATATATATATATATGTATATATATCATAGATAAATATATATATATATATATACCCCACGCGATCCGAAATGGACAAAGAAAAACGTCGCAACGCGTTGTCCCCGCTTCGTTGAGAGGAAGAAAAAAAAAAAAAAAANAAAAAAAAAAAAAAAAAGAAAAAAAAAAGTCGGAATAAATCGTTCGCGAATAGATCGAATCGATCTTCCCGTTTCGTTTCGTTTCGTTTCGTTTCCTTTCGTTTCGTTTTTCCTTCTTTTCTTTTCTTCTCTTTTTTCACCAAATTTTCTCCAATCTCTAAACAGATAGATATCCATCGATCACCCGGACGGACGGAAAGATCGGCGCAAAGCTATGCGATAAACTTTCACGAAAAGTAAACGAGACTTGGCACTGGGACGGCACGTTTTGCAACAACGATCACTGTATTATATCAGATCTCATTACTTATCCTTAATTTAATGTCTATTTTTAGAAGACGGAATAACGCGCCGAATAATTAAACAAACCCCGTCCGGGTGATCGATTCGTTGCTTTCCAACCGCCATCCAACGCGGTGGTTGGGACGAGGCCGATCCAATCCAGCTCCAATCGTCGAGGCGATCGTCTCCGAAATATCGTCCCTCCCCCATTGGCCGCTCGCCGGCCGAATAGTTAAGCGCGACCCGATTCAATAAGTTAAACAACTCTTCTCGGTCGCAAACCCTGCCCGGCCAGGGAAAAGCGGACGGAAGTTGTCGGTCGAACGCTCGATCGACGCATACATTCGTGAACCACACCGCCCGGTGCGGGAGGATAATCGGAACGATAATAAGTTTATTGTTATTATTATTACTATTATTATTATTATTATTATTATTATTAGCGAGAGATTATTCCTCCGTTCCTTCTCCCTTATATTCCTTGGAAACGGCTCGTCGATGGAACGTGTGGCACGTGTTTTAACGGCCACGGCCGTTGCCTGCAATTACGGAAACGAGAGGCGAGGATTTGGCCCGCTTGCGAGACCAGGGTCCCGGGAGAATGAGCCGGCACTCTCTTTCTAGAGCATTAAGATTTTTTCTTTTTTTCCCCCCCTCTTTCTCATCGATGGATCGGATATATATGTATATCGATTTATCGATATATATATATACATATATGTATTACGTGTTGTATGTATGTATATATATGCATGTATGTATGTATGTATATATATATGTATGTATATACATACGCAGACAGCAAAAATGTGTGGACTATATAATATTGGCTAAAGAAGTTTTAAGGGGGTCGGTTAAGAGGGTTGGGAAGGATCATCCGTGACCGTGCAACAAACAACACGTCCAAGCCTCGCGGTTTTTTCCCTTTTTCTTTTTTTTTCTTTTTTTCTTTTTTCTTTTGCGTTACGTTAATTCTCGCGTGACGGCTGCGAACGGAAAACGGCTGCGCGCTTTATTGCTAGGTCGCTAGGTTTAAAAAGGATACACGGCTGGCTTTCCAAAGGCACCGGCAACGCTTCCGGGAAGGCCTGGCGTGATTCGCGCCTATCCTTCGCTAGATGCCAACCTCGAGCGCATCGCTCCCTCCTTTCGACGAGAAGTCTCAAGCATGGCCATCGCCGTATTGTATTTCTTTCCTTCTCGATGATCGAGCCGTGCGCGGATCTCTGATGAATTTGAAGCAACGACATATGTGTATATATATATATATATTTTTTTTTTAACCTCTTTCCGTTCATTTTCAAAATTCTTGTTAGAATTTCGAATCATCGATACGATAAAAATTTTGAAGATTTCTTTTTTTTTTTTTTGAGAGTACCGATTTCGCGTTGTTTCTTAATAATAAAATCGGAACGCAAAGTTCGTCGAAATATATGTTAGGGGAAGCGTTACTTTCACGTCACGTTCTCGATCGTCTCGGGATGAGAATCAATATCCATAATCGATCAAAAACGATAGGCTGAATTTCCATTTCGACGAGAGACTTCCCGTCCCAAAGTGGGTAGGCGCCACGTTCCCAAGACTGGGCGGCATACGGAAGAATGATCGTTATCGCGTGCACTGTATAAAAATCTCATCGATTACGCTGACAGCTATTACGCGACGAGTAGATTCGCTCGTCGATGATGCACGAAGACGAAACAAAAACGAGCCGTCGACGTTCGTCCATAGCGTCGTCGCGTTCTTTGGTATCGAATCCATTATCACATGTTAGTCTCACTAACGTTACGTAGAAATCCCCCTCTCTAAACTTCCTTCCTCCCCTTCCCTCTATTCCTTCTTCTTTCTTCATTCACCGAATTATTAATATTCGTTCACGCCGTAAGTTCGGCCGACGATTTCTTTCCTTTTGTTCGTTTTTTTCATCCTTTCCTTCTTTTTTTTTCTTTCTTTTTTTAATTGACTCGTCTTACTCGGTGGCTCTTACTGGATGGATAAGCGATTTCTCCTCTTCCTTCCTTCGTCTTCCTTCCCCCGAAAAAGAACTCGTGGAACAATCGAAAGATGGATCAATCGGATCTTAAAAATATACCGATCTTCCGCATCCTATCAAGTTTCCAAAGGAATCTCTCCGATTCGATTCTCCGAGGAGAAGAACGGCCATTTCGCGTGGACGAACATACGAATATTCTACGTCGAATATCTACACCTTTGCACCTTTCTTCTTTCGTCTGCCTGTGCGCGCCTTTTACATTTTTGACCGATCTTCTTCGTCTTATCGATAATCAATAATCGACTTCGTCCCATAAATTCTCTATCTACGTCATACGACTCGATTAACTCCGTGGCGAAAAGGATGTTCCATTAAACGGACGTAACGATATACACAACTCTAACGCGAGCGAATAGCGGGAAAATAATTATTCGTATTTCTAAAGTAGTCGTTGTATACGAGTGACCCGCCATCGGTCCCTGAAGCGCGCGCCAACACTAGCCGAAACTAAAACCTACTCCTGTCCCTACGTACGTATGCATCTGTCTACGTGTACGTGTTCGCGTAACAATGAAAATTCTCTCGTATATATCCTCGTTCTCGAATTCAAAAAATTTGGTAAAAAAATTTCGATCTGGAACAAATCCCGTTCGCTCGGGGAAAGGCGCGAACCGGCAAACGTTGAAGAACCGTCACCGTCGTTACGCGTTCACAACACCCGGCCGTTAACACCCGGTGCCATCAGGTTAACGCTGATGTATATGGGTGGTGAGATGTTTGGACAGGTAATCCGCCCTCGCGAAGCATTTGCCGCACATCTCGCAGTGGTACGGCCTCTCCCCGGTGTGTATACGGAGGTGCCTGGTCAGGTCGCTCTTCCCGCCGAACGCACGGCCGCAAAACAGGCAGACGAACGGCCGCTCACCGGTGTGCTTGCGCACGTGCAGCTTCAGGTTCTCCTTGGACCGGACGCACTTACCGCAAAAGGGGCAGGCGAAGCGGCGCTCGCGCCTGTCCACCTCGTGGCTGCTGCGCGCCAAGCTGATCACTCGATCGGCGGTTACCTCGGACCGATCGTCGTCCACGGCGTTGTCGTCGGCGTCCCCGACCTCGCTCGTGCTCCCACCACCCGCCGATCCCCCTATCCCCCCTGTGGGGACAGCCTCGCCCATCATCTGCACCTCCGCCCCGGCCTCCCCGGGATTCTCGCCGTGGACGCTCGCCGTCTCGGACACGCTCTCCTCCCGGGCGTTCTCGTTGAACGCCCCCCTCGTCTCCTCCTCGCCCGGATTGGTGGTGGTGTCGCTGCCGGTCTCGACCTGGGACGGCTCCCCCGTGCTTGACACCTGGTCGCTCCTCTCGGCGGCGGCCGAAACCGCCGACGCGGCGCCGCTCTGGGACGACTCCGGCGCCCGTTGCAGCCGTTCCAACGCGTGGTTCAGCCTGTGCTTCTTGAACGACTTCAGATACCTGAACTGCATCCCGCAAACGTCGCAGGTGAACAGCTTGTCGGCCGGGAGGCGGGCGCGGTGATTCTGCTCCCGATGCTTCACGTACGCGGAACGGTAGCGGTAGCGTTGGCCGCATTGCTCGCAGGTGAAAGGCTTGTCGTCGCTCGCCTGGCCGGCGTGCTGGAGCAACGCGTGCCGTTCCAGCAACCAGGCGGAAGGAAACGTGGCCAGACAGACGCCGCACCGACGCGCCAACCCCGCAAGGCTAGCGAAACCGCCGTGACCCAGGATGGAACCGCTTCCGCCGCCTCCCCCCGTGCTGCGTTCCACCAGGGCGCCCCAACCCCCCGCCTCCAAACCGAGGGCCAGCGACACCTGAAATTATCGTGGTCTGGTTAGATTCGTGGAATTCGTGGGCTTATAGAGAGGGCGACGGAGGGGAGAATGGGGGGAGGGGGAGGAGGGGTTGCGAGGAGGGATGATTTTCTCAGCGGTTCCCGATGAATGGGTTTCCATGGAGGGAAATGGAGGATGATCGATTCCTCGTGTTTTTCTCCTCCTGTATATGTGTGTGTGTGTGTGTGTGTGTATGCGTGTATGTGCTCTCTTCCGAAAGCGGCGGCTTTAAAGGAGTATATAAAAGAAATAAGGACGATGAATCGATGTGTGCTAGCGTATATATATATATGTATGTATGTATTGAAATATACGAAGAAAGAAATTTTGTGTAAAATCGTGTAAAAGAGAGAGGCATGCGAAGTGTTAATACGTGTTATATATATATATATAAAACGGATAAAACGGATATTTTTTAAAAGTAAAGGATAAACTTACCGATATTATTGTCGCGTATTCGCGAATTAATAATCTTCGTTCTCGTCACCTGTGACGTCGTAATAGCGGTATATAAGATGATACACGCATCTTGATACACGTTTGTTAAACAAAGTTCGAATTGAATATAGAAAAAGAAAAAAAAAAAAGAAGTATGTTTATAACGTGTATCTCTAATTAAATCGAGGTCTTCTGCGATATAATAAACATTAATCGAAAAGAAAGCAATCCATTAAAGGAGGGGGGAGAGGGAGAAGACATTAAAAATGGTGCAAGGCATAAAAGCTATTCTACGATCAAACAAACGGGCATAATAAGGTATTAAAAAAAATTGTGAAAAAAGAAAAAGAAAAAGAAAAGAACGACATCAAGGTTCAATGACCTATTGTTAACACAAACAGTTTGCAGCTTTTATTTCACAAATCGTTAATTTACAACTATGATATGCATTCGTTCGCCTAAGAACCGAAACAAAACGTCATTTTACACGAAACAAGGCGTAGTACCCATAATGATCAAGAACGCGTGTCAACGTGGTGAAGTAGTTTTACGGACAAGTCTTTCTCTCCGATATTTTTTTTTTTTCTTTTTTTTTTTCTTTTTTTCCCTTTTTTTTTTATATATTTCTCAACTGTCGAGATATATATAATATGTATATATCCTGGAATAATATCTTACACGTGTGAACGTCTCGAAGATCACTTTTGACCACGCTGTTTAATAACCATCCTAGAACGTTACACGCATATTTTTTTTTTTTTTTTTTTTTTTTGTTTTTTTCTTTCTCCGTGTTGAAACACGCAAGCTGCGACCGACAAGTTCCATCGAAAGCGAATCTTCGGTTACAGTCAACTCCATCATGCTCCATCGTTTCGACGCGTTTCAATCTCTAGATTTACGCAGAAACGGAAGAACAGAATTATCCTGTTCCGTTATTTAACGTTATTATTTATCAAAAAAGATTCGCTGTTAACACCGAATACAAGTCGTTCACACTACGCAACATTACGTTTTACAAAAATTTTCTCCATATCCATTCTTTTCCTTTCTCCGTAATCGCAAGCTCGAACCGCGTCTTCGAGCAACCGATGGACATTGTGTTCTCATGAGCGGCATATGATCGTACGTGTGTACGTGTGTACGTGTTTATACGTGTGTGCACGAGAGCTTTCTTTCTTTAGCGATTTTACGTGTGTACGTGTGTATGTGTATGTGTGTACATGTGTCTTTTTGTTCCATATTTTTCTTTTTTTTCTCTTTTTTTTTTTTTTTTTTTTTCTTTTTTTTTACAATCGACCCTCCTCGAGGATCCGTGACTTTTGAACAACGACGCGTGGACATATTTTCCTTCTCCACGCTTTTATCTCAACATCCGGAGACGATAGAACGACGCGAGTACGACGAACGCCAGAAAGACGCATAAGCTTTCGGAGCACCATTTTTCTATTTTCTATCCCATTTCTTTCCGTTTCTGTTTCTCTTTTTTTCTACTTTTTGCTTTTTTTAGAATTTTTCCCTTTTCTTTTTCTTGCCCTCTGACCGGTTCCATCGTCGAGACCTTATCGATCACGAGCGAAATTCTCAAAGTTCTTTGCGAATTAATCAATTGGGGAAATTTCTAGATATTCCACGAGATCTCGAAATATTCTCGAGATCTCGACGCGTTCGCAAGATTTCGAAATATTCGTAACGTTTCAAAGTATTCTCGAGTTCTCCACGTGTACCAAAAATTTCGAGATATTCCACGAGATCTCAAAATATTCTCGAGATCTCGACGCGTTCGCAAGATTTCGAAATATTCGCAAAATATTCTCTAAAGTGTTCACGAGGTCTCGACGTAATCGCGAGATCGATCGAGGCAACGGGGGATCCCAACGCATTGCTTCTTCCCTAGATGGAACTCGTTCGATCGTTCGCGTTCGATCGAAATATCCACCCATTGCCTCGAGACGACCACCAGCAGAGGAGTGAATTGCGAAAACGAGACGCGTCCATTCGTTCGCGCTACCGTTGTTCCCTGCTGTCTACGGGCGAGCCGATGATCGCGCCTCGATAATTCATCTACGTGTCCTATCGCGAACACGTAATATCTAAGATCAGCAAGGTCGCGCTAGAGTGTTCTCAGGGCACATCACGCGACGCTTTCGACGTACTGGGTGTTAGTCAAGTCATGTTGTGGAACGAGCGTGATGGACATTGTTTCATGACCGAAGGATAACTCGAATGCGATAATGAAAGACCACAATGTGTGTATATTTGATAATACAAGAGGAATGTATCGATTTAGGTTTAAGAACCATTAAGATTGCAATCATGGAAGCTTGTAAAGATCAATTTTCTTTTTTCTTTTTCCAGATTTTAATTTAATTCCAAGAATAATATATCGAATATATATATATATTAATATATCGATCGTTTAATTAAAAAAAAAAATATTCTCATTAAACGAATATTTGTTGAATTTTTGAACACCTTTAACGATAACAATGTGAAGCATTAAAGCTATCGAACAATTTTATTTTTTTAAACTATTATATATTGAATCGCGTTGAAACAAATGAATCGCGTTGAAAATAAATTTTCACAATTTTCACAATTATTTAAAGTGTCGAAGAAAATTCCATCATCGATATTTATATATGCACTCCTCCTTAAGATGTCTCACGTTTCTTGCATATCGTTTTTTTCTTCATTTCTCAAGATATATCGAAGTATTCTATACATTGTACGTCTTTCGAATAAAATTAGTTAAGACACGTATGTGAATTAAAACTTTTTTTTCTTTAATAAAGATGGCACATAAAAGAGAAGAATGATAAAACGTTTAAAACATTTTAATTACGAGAGAGAAAAATTTTATTCGTATCTCGTATTTTTCATAATTGAAAGTAAATTATACTTTTACATCACGAAAATTCGTGAAATGTTAATCAAGCAGTGATTATGGGGCGAAGATTATTCCCCATGCTCGTTCGAATATACATTGACGTACACCGTACGTGACACGGCTCGTGTGCTTTTCACGTCTCGAGAAACGTTCCCGCGTAAAAGGGAACCTTGTCAACTTCTTTCGAAACGAATCGGAACACGTACGGTTAGATAAATCCTTTAAACAAATCGTTTTTGTTTCAGTGATCTTTTCTTTCGTTTACGTTACATACGTGTTCCGACAATGATTCTTGCGTGATCTTAGATCGTTAGAATTTTTACGTTTCTCTTCGCATTTAGATTTCTTGGCCGAGAATTTTCTGGAGAAAATTATCTTCCTTTTTATCATCCTTCCAAAAGGGAAAAAACGAATTTACGGCAACAAATCGACGCAACGTTACGTATTACACGTAAAACGAAAGCGAACATTCGAATGAAGCTATATCTTTTTCTGTTAAACAAAAATATAATTCTCGGTTTCGCGAACGAAGCTGCGTCTCGTTTTAGGATTCGTTCGAGCGAGATTCCTAAAAAATGGGGGCGACCGAGGCAAAACTAGCTACGCGCATTATTTCTCTCTTAACAACGTCACGTTATCTCGTCTCTAAAAAATCACTAGCGGTTTAAACTCGATAAATCAAGCGATCTGGACGTCAGTGCTTGGGTGTACGTGCTGGAATGTAGGGTTTTTTCTTTATTTATTCCTTCTTTCTTTTTTTTTTTTTTTTCTTTCTTTCTTTCCTTCCTCGTTTTTCCCTTCTTCCCTTCTCCCTCTCCTTTTCCACTTTTCTTTTTTCTCTTTTTTTTTTCTTTTTTTTTTTTGTTTTGTTTTTCGAAAACGGCAATGGGCGTCGATCGATTCTCTGTATTCGCGACCGAGAGATTCGGGGACGCGGGTCGCGCGCGTGTCACACATCATCTGCAAAGCAAAAAATCTAAAATCTCTTGGTTGGCACACAAAACGAAACGATGTGGCGTCACGCGGACTTCCGGCGCGGTGGCGCTCGGATCGGCCGCCATGACTTCGTTACAAGTATGAAAAATATTCCGGCTTGGTTTTTCTTTCTTTCCTTTCTGCTTCTTCTTCTTTTTCTTCTTCTTCTTCTTCTTCACCTTCACCTTCATCTTCTTTTTTTTATTTTTATTTCATTAAATACCGTTTAAAAAAGTTATTGCATCTGGGTATACCTATATTGTATAGGTACGTAACTTTTTCTTTTATCGATATATTGTACAAATATTGTTGTAAGTCGGTACAAACGTTATTGTAGAAAACATAACAACTCGTAGGTTCCTCTCGTTCTCAATCTTTCACTTTTGCTTGCGTGTTATTTTATTTCTCTTTTTCTCTCTCTCTTTCTTTCCTTTTTCAATCTCTCTCTCTTTTTTCTCGCTAATTTGGTTCATTCATGTACATTTTCTCCCTTCTCTCTCTCTCTCTCTCTCTCTCTCTCTCTCTCTCTCTTTCTTTTCTTTCTCTCGCTCTTTCTCTCTTCCTTTCTCTCTTTTTTTTTCTCTCTCACTCTCATTAATTCTCGTACGCTCCCTCTTTCTCTCGTTCCCTTTCACTCATTTTATGTATTTTATCGTTACGGAAAGCTTAGTTAAGTGTT